CAGGGCACGGGCAGGCATTCCAATCAGCTTTACAACATCAACTAATGGCCAGGCCATACAGACATCCTGATATTTTTACAGAAAACAGAAATGAATCCTTCATAACTTGTGACAAGCTGGCTTCTGATCTAATGAGATAACTAGGCTAGGTATATCACCAAGGTGAGGCAGGACATCATGGCAGAGAGTGTGGCAGAGGGAGAGTGTGGCAGAGGGAAGCGGCTCACAGGGTGACCAGGAAGCAGAGGGAGACTAAGCTCAGCTCACCACATATATACCCCCAAGGCAGCTCAGTGACCCACCTCCTCCAGCCACACACTGTCCACCCCCAGCCCCTACCTAGTTAATCCCATTGGGGACTAATCCACTGGTTGGGTTAAGGCTCTCTTAATCTAATTATTTCTCCCCAAACCTTCTTGCATTGTCTCACACTTGAGCTTTTGGGGGACACCTCACATCCAAACCATAACACCCTGCCTTAAGTGCTAGATAAGCCCAAGGAACTTTTCAGCAAAAATCAAGACATCAAAGGTATAAATCCAATTTTAAAAACATTTTTTGGCCTTCTGGCTTTTTTTGTTTATTTGTGATTTTTTTTTTTTTAAACAGTAATAAATGTGCCTGGTGTGGTGGCACCTACCTGTAATCCCAGCAGCTCAGGAGGCTGAGGCAGGAGGATCACAAGTTCAAAGTCAGCCTCAGCAACTTGGTGATCCCCAAGCAACTCGGCAACACCTTGTCTCTAAATATTAAAAAATGGCTGAGGATGAGGCTCAGTGGTTAAGCATACCTGGGTTCAATCCCTGGTTCCAAAAAAAAAAAAAATTAAAAAGAAATAGGACTAGAATCACTGGATATTAGGAAAGCAGCCAGACAGGTCCTGCCCACCCCTCTCCCCGTATCCCCCTGTGGTTGCGTCTCATGTCATTTATAGCACAAGATCAACCCAGGAAGTTGACATGGGTTCAATCCACAGTTTATCTGGACTTCATCAGTTTTACTGTAATTTCTTCTTTAAACATTTTTCTTAATTATTAACATAATTGTAACATTATTACACAAAACTCAGAACATAAAAAAGAAAAACTGTTCCTGTCCCACTCTCCTGTAGAGCTGCTCTGGTCACTTTACAACTTGTTTCCTTCCTACCTTTTTGTGGACTTTAAGCATAATTGATAGTATCATTTATATACATCGTTATCACCTGATTCTTATTTAATATTTAAGTGAACATTTTTCCTTATAACCTGTTCTTTATCAGTGTAAATGGCCATATGTCAAATGAATATGCCATATTTTACTTAATTATTGCCCTTTTMTTAGATCATTCTAGTTGTACTCCAATAATTTTAAAATGAAAAATTATGTTTATTTAATATTTTCCATATTTTGAACTCTATCACTAGAATCTACACCCAAAGATAGGAACATTTTTATGACTCTTGATATCAAAGGCCAATTGCTTTCCAAAAGAGCTGTCTCAAAATTGCAGTGGTCTGGTGTTGCAAATTATCTGTCATTCACACACAGAGTTGAAGGGTGATATCTTTTTGGTCAAGCTGTAGTTTCTAATTATTCTAAAGTTGGTCATTATTTGATTTTACTGGTGACTTTCCTATGTTGTGACTCAGCTGTGTGAATTCTTTGCCCAATTGTTTAGTGTTTACTAATTTGTAGGAGTTCCTTACATAATGAAGATGTTAACCTTTTTGTTAGTGAATTTGCTGCAAATATTTCTCTGGGTTGCTCGTTCGCCTATTGACTGGCTCATTTTTAATATACTACACACATGGATAAGTTAATTTTTTGTGAAGTCAAATCTGGCCTTCTCACTTTCCGAAGACCATTACTTTGCARAGATGTGATAAATTGCTGTAGTCAACTGTTTTCTTCCTCTTCCTATGTTTGGATTTTTAAAAAACATTGTTCTGCTGAGTGCTATCGTGTGCAAACCTAAAAGGACTTTTCCCAAAAATTTTCCGCTTACCTGAGTAACCTGTGACCTGATTACTGGAGATTGACTGATTCCAGGTGGTGAGTTCTGCTTCAGGTCGGCGCTCAAGGAGTGCTGTCTCCAGCCATGTTTCCTCTTCTTCCACCAGATCATGACCAACACCGGAAAGGCACGGCGGAGGGGGCTGGCCAGCGTGCAGTGGAGTGGGGATGAGCCCCTGCGCCGGCCTGTCACCCCCAGTGGCCACAGGACCGGGTGCCCAGTGTAAGTCCAGGCTAAAGGAGGCGGGAGTTTATGTTCTTAAGCTTCACTTTGATTAACTGACGTATAAGATGTGTATATTTAAAAATGCAAAATAAAGCATTCATACTGGAAATCCTTTCTCTCTTTATCATTTATCTTGTGAGGGGTTTTGGAAAGAAAGAGGTTGAGACCCCCTCCTCCCTACACCCAGGTTTCTCCCTCCAGAAAGAGAAGTGGGGGGCTGGTTATAGTATCTCCAGGGCCACTTCCGAAGATGAGTGTTGGCCAGGGTCATTTCAGAGGACAGAGCCAGAAGGAATGTGGGGCCACGTGGACAGGCTTATGTTGTTGTTTTTGTGGCCTCTGTCACAGTTGAGGACTCCAGGTCTCTCTAAGATGACCTTGTTCAAGCAGCGGTATGGACTGGGCAGAGCTCAGTGGCAGAGGTGCCAGGCACGCCTGAGGCCCGAGCTCCATCCCCAGCCCAGCAAAAAACCAGTGGAGCAGGAACTGCCGGAGTCCCTCCCTGGACAGAAATAAAATGTCGGGCTCCTCCTCAGAGCCAGCGGCCTCCCTGGAGGGCCTGGGGCCCCTCCCCTGTGGCTTTCGGGGAGCCCCGAGATGGGSAGTTCAGTGGGCAGGACACAGTCTCCTTCTGTGGGGGGCGGCCTCTTTCCCTGTCTAGAGAACACTGCAGAGGAGCACATGGAGGGGGCTGAGGGTTCAGAGAGCCAGCAAACCCCCCGTGTCCATGGCCTGACGGTGGCCACCGTAACTGTGCCACGTTTCACCCAGCTGCCCCCGTGGGGCTGGGAAGTTCCGCTCTTTCCAGTGGTAGTCCATGGTAATTGTGTAAGAAGCAGTCAGCCCCTGGGGATGTAGCAACAAGTGAAATGTGGAAATGCCTGCCCTGGTGAGCTCTTTGCCACAGCTACTGGGGACACTGGTGTCCCCAGCACCAGCTCTTGCCAAGTTCTGTTGCCCATCTGGGGTTTGCCCTGTAAATATGTCAAAGCCTATGCCAGACCAGTGCTCTGAGATCTGTCTGATTAGATTTCAAAATTAGTCACCATGTGCTTCTATTTCTAGGTTTTTATTTTTGATTACTGATATGCAGACTAGTAGTATGCCCTTTTCTCTCTCCAACATATAACCAGTATCTTTTAACCTATAGACAAGTTTGAAATATTATTACGGTGAAGAACTTTCAGTTCATAATTGCTGGCTCCCTCGCTTGTTTTCTCTGTGTGTGATCCATAATTTACACACCTATACTCTTTTGAATTTTTTTTTTTTTTTTTTTTTTTTGCCAAACTATTTGGAAGAAGGTTGCAGACTTTCAATGTGCTTCTTTATCCTTAGAATGAGGTGATCTGCCAACTTCCCTGTTGGACTTGTTTCACTGTCTGCATGTATTGAAATGTACCTTGTGCCCTGTAAATATGTGGAATTACTAAGTATCAATTTTAGCCTATGAGCAATGTGCTTCCCCACGGAGCATTGCCCATGGAGGTGTTTGGCTGGGGTGCACCTGCCCAGTCATGAGAGCACCTTCTAATCAATGGCCCTGCCTGTAACTAAGTCGTGACGATCCCCAGCTCCCTCCATCTGGTTGATTCCACAGACATCTTCGTCACCTCTGGTGGACGGAGTGCTCAGTACTGGAGACCCAAAGACAAATGAGATGGGATTTCTGCCCTCAGAGGCACACACGGCACACCGCCTGGTAAGGAAGGAGATGGAGAGTCTAGTCTGTGGGAGACCCAGGAGGGCCTCAGAGTGCTGGGGGCAGGATTCTTAGCTTCTCCGTGTCTCGAACTCACCTCCAGGAAGTCTGTGTGAGGGTCCAACCAGCACCCAATGTTACCAGGAGTGGGGGTAGATCTGGAATCTTCGTTCTGATAATATCAAGACACTAGTGCTTTAGAAATCACTAATTCCACTTCTCTAATTAGATGCTGAGAAGTAATCAGATGTTCATAAGTAAAAACAATGGTCTTTATTGAAGTATGACTTAGAAAATCAGAAATAATCTACATGCCAAAATAGGAGGCTGATTATGCAAATTATTTCCAGACAAGACAGTATTAGAAATGAAGAGACAATATGTTGCTGAATGGAAAAGGTGGGAAATAGTCATGCGGGCCATTTATAGTGATCCCAGCTTAGAATTCTGTATGTATTTGCTTTTTTTTTGTTTTGTTTTGTTTTGTTTTGTTTTGTTTTGTTTTGTTTTGTTTCAGTACTGAGAATGGAGCCCAGGGCCTCACACATGCTAGGCAAGCACTCTACCCCTGAGCCACATCCCCTGCCCTTTCTAAATTTTATTTTGAGTCAGCATCTCACTAAGTTCTCCAAGCTGGCCTGGAACTTGGGATCCTCCTGCCTCAGCCTCCTGAGTGCCTGGGATTACAGTCATGCACCATGGCTCCCAACTTAGTTGCATTTTTTTAAGGAGATTGACTGTATACCAAATGTTAAGCRGTGTGTTTAGGCGTGGGGACGCCAGGGCATTCTGCACGTTACACCTGCTGATCTGATAGTTCCTGATGAGCACTTCTTATCGAGCAGAGGTTGTAAGTAAACACTGGCACTTTGGCCCACGCTGTACTGGCTCTCTGCCTCTCTCAGCCCAGCCTCAGCCTGGCCTCCTGGTGCTGGAGCACCCCCAGCAGGCCTAACCCCCCAACGCCTCTTTGGCTCTGCCTCCTGCTCCCTCCTACTTGTTGCTTAGACCTGTCAACGTGCTTCAGTGGCCACTTCCCTCACCCTCAGGCCTTCTCTGGTTCGTCCTRACCCTTCCCTGTTCACAGCCCTGGGAGGTGGGACAGTGACGTCTGCAAGGAATTACCGCCAGGTGACCCAACAGTCCCCCACCTGAGGATCCTCCGGGCCCCATGTGCTCTCACAGTGGCCACTGCCCCCTGCCCTGCGGGCTGGCCCTCTGCCTCTYACCCCCTCCTCCCGAGGCCTTCATTCCCTCCTGCCTGTTCCCCGATACCCACCACACACCGATGGCGCCCAGATCCAGCCTGGACTTGCTATTTGTGTCCCCAGCACGCCCATTCAGCATTTCCTAGAGCAACATGGCCATCTCTGCGCCCCCCGCCTCAGGGAATGGCGTGGACCCGGGGACAGTGCAGCTGAGGCCGGGCCCTTCCCTCCTGCCCGGCTCTCTGCCCCACACTGGCCTCCCCCTGAGCCATAGTTCTCCCCCCTGCCTCAGGGGCTCCAGGCACTTCTCCCAGGACCATGACCAGGGGTGGCTTTATAGGTGCTAAGGACCAAGTCTGCCTGTCCTGGCCGGGGCTGCAGGGTCTTCTCCACCACCACCCCAGCCTCAAAGCTCCCCAGGGGACCCCTCACCCCACTGCCATCTTATAAGGCCTTTCTGGGGGGAGAGGCAGCCAACATTTTTCTTGTGGTGCCTTAAATCTTTCTGTGACAAGGCAGCAGGTCACCTTGCTCAGTGCTCCCCCTGCTAGATGACGTTCCCCTTATGGACCCCAGGAACCCCCAGTTCTGAGTTGGACACAGCAGAGCAGCCCTCCCCACCCCTTGGGCTGCTGCTGTGTCTCCTTGTGTCGCTCTTGGGTCTAGCCTTAAAGACTGGACATCTAAGAAAGCCGCTCCAGAGTCCAGCCCTGGGCAGGCACAGGCTTGTCACCAAGTGTCCCCACCAGGCCCTTGTTGAGTGGTGGCTTCGGTCTCCTCCTTGGTGGAGCACGTGCTCTGTTACTGAGGCACGTGGAGAGCCCTCCAGGGTCCCGAGGAGGACCACCAGGAGCCTGCCCTCTGAGAGCTCACTCCAGCCYGCGCCTCTTACTGACTGGGCCTGGCACGGTGAGGTGCCCGTCACGCACGTCTGGCGGAGCAGACAGCCATCTCCCCTGCTCTGGGTGCAGACGTCAGCTCAGGGGCCACCCTGCCGCGTCGTTCAGGTGGTGGTGGAGGGAAGCAGGCTGTCCCCGGTTCTGCTCTTGCCTGCCACTGCTCTCGGCTGACGTGACGGCGGTCATTGCTTCTCTAATTGGGTTCATTCTTTCCTGCATCTGCTGCGTCCTTGGAGAAGAAACAGATTTGTGCCTTAAGCTCTTTAGTTGAACTGTCACGGGCCTGTGTCACCCAAAGCCATAAGACATATTTACGTGTTAGAAACGTACCACACCTTGTAGCACTAGCAGCTCCCAGCAGGGCCAACAGGAGCGAGGTAAGGTCACTCTGCACAGGACTTCCTGGTTTCCGCCAACACCCTCAGAAGGGTTTTAAAAATATCAATGTGGGGCTGGGGATGTGGCTCAAGCGGTAGCGTGCTCGCCTGGCATGCGTGCGGCCCGGGTTCGATCCTCAGCACCACATACAAACAAAGATGTTGTGTCCGCCGAAAACTAAATAAATAAATAAATATTTTAAAAAAATAAAATAAAAATAAAAATATCAATGTAACAAAAGAATTTCAGGCCCGGCCACCACCTGGATTTGTTTATGATGCTACGTACGAGTGGCCAGCAGCCAGTGCCCCCCAGCTATCTGTATTTATTGCTTTTATTCATGTTTTTCTGCAGGATGGAAGAGCATCTGGTTTCTCCGCAGAGTGGCCAACAGGCCAGAAATGGCAGCCTGCAGGCCCTGTTCACCGCTCACCTGGCCATCTGCAAGGAGGCCAAGCCTGGTGTCCCTGAGTGCCACACAACTTCTTCATGTAAGAACACTGCTGTTCTGGGCCTGGTGACATCTAGAATCCCCATGAAGCAACAGTGGGAGTCGCAGGTGCAGGCCTGCTCCTGGAAAGCCCTCTGACCTAGCCACAGCCCCAGGGCCTGCGGGCTGGGGACCTGGGATCACACAGCCAGCCCTGAGGCGGCTGATCCTCCAGCTCCCCTTCCTGGAGTCACCCACATCGGGAGGCTCCTGGAGGAAGGTGTCTGACCGGGAGAACTGAGGTTTCATGTTGAGATTTTGGAGTCAGGATCTCAGAACACTTGTCTGCCTTAACCAACTCCCGCTGCTGTAGCAGGACCCCTGAGGCTGCACATGTTAGGAGAGGTCTACTTAACTAAGTTTGGGAGGCTGAAAGTCCAAGATCAGGTGGCCCCATTGGTTCAGCCTCGGGTGGGGCCCCGG